TGCCAGTCCTTTCCCTCCCTCCGCTCACTTGGAGCTGGCTCGCTCCGGGATCCTCAGGTCATAGTTCTTTTTGGTCACTTGAAGTTTGAAGCGACTCATGGAGTTGTTGAGGCGAAGGGAGGCATTCTGGGTAGCCTGGGGAGCACAGCCCTGATGGTGTCCAAGGCACTGAGGTCCGAGGGGCAGCCATTCTCAGCAGTACCACCGTTGTCCTTGAACCAGTGGAAACCGGCGCCAGACATGGCAAGCTGAGCGAAGAGTTTGTCTGCCTCTGTGTGGTGATGCCCTTAGGGACATCGGTCATCCACAGCACCCACGCCAGGACAATGTCTGCTGTCCCTAGGTCAGTAGAGGCAGATTTGAGTGCTTGTCTCTTGCCCCACTTTCCATGCTTCAATCCACTCTGTCCCTGGTACACCATGTAAGTCGACTGGCCGTGAAGCAAGGAAGGACAGATGGACAGACTGTACTGTAATGGCTGGCCTAAGAGGTAATAACACCCATCACCCCAGGCCGGGGGAGCTGGGTGAGGACAGGCTGAGGCTGGTGACAAGAGAGTGTTAGAGACTGGGTAGGAGATGGGGTAGGACTGCAGCTCATTTGTGTGTTGGCCTGGGGGTACTGTCAGGATTGTACAAGTCTCAGGCTTCTGACCCCACTGGTCCCTGCTGTAGTATTTACAATGACTCCACTGGACCATGAATGGATTCGGGGGTGGAGGGCTGGGGTCCACTAGGAACATTCAGCTGCATGACTACCACATCTGGTCCGGAAGGTGACACCCCTGAGTACTGCTGTGGCATCTGTGGTGGACCGCAAGAAGAGGGAGACAGGCATCTGGTACTGCCCGGAACCAGGAGGGTCAGAAACCCCACAGAAATGCTCCTACTGTTCTGGAGTGGGTGGGTCATGCTGTAGTACATTGGGACGCCCCCTGCTGGGAGGCCTCAGTGCACAGACTGACTCGCAGGGACTAGCACTGGTTGCTGGAAATGTGGCTGCTTGAGGTGTGGCTTAGCCCCTCATGGTTCCCCCATGTCATTTAGATATCCATCCTGGCCAGTCTGTTGGGGAAATATTCCCTCTCAGACCCTTTGATATTCTTCTTCTGTCTCTTCTATTGGCTGCTCCTCCTTCCGTCCTGCAATGGAACTCTGATCTAGTTATCATCTCGGTTCATACTGGCATCATCTCTCTTGGGAATGAATCTGTGTTGAAACTCTGTGTTCTTCTCATCCTTTATGTGTTCTGAGAACCTCCGTTCAGGGGTTCTTATGTAATTGGTTTTGTGGATGACGACAGCCTTCCCAGTTTGGTCAACATTGTGGCCCATCCCAGAGTAGGCAGCTAGCCGGTGTAATAGCACCGTATGAGGTCATCTGAGGGAACTTCTTCAACAGGTTGTTGCTGTCACTGATATGTTCCAGAATCTCCTGTTCTAATTTTAGCAGCTTCATTCTGTCCCTTGGGTTCTTCTTCAGTGTTTTTATAAGAAATTCAGGTAGGTCCATTCCAGTGGAGTTCATGTATTCTTGATTGGAGTCTTTGGACAGCATGTTTCTTGGAACCTTTGTTTTTGTCTTTGTCTTTTTTTTTCAGAGATGTCCTTTGTGGACTTTTCTTCCTCCTTGTCAAAGGGGCAACTGATGTGCAGCTGAATTACATCCTGGGTTTCTAGTGGCCTGTCAGCAAATGGAGTATAGGATTCCCCACCCACTGCCAGGTGGCACACCAACTTCAACCTGGAATTAGACTTGGCTCTGTTCCTGGCATTGCCATGGTTGGATGTCGCCCAAAATCCCAGGAGGAGAATGGAGGAGAAGGTATTGCAGCATGGCCATCCTCCCTGGGGGGTGTTTTCTCACTTTTCCTTTCTCACACTTTGTTTCTGTCCAGCAAGTTCAGATGCCCCATAGCAAAAAAAAAAAAATAATAATAATAATAATTTTAAACCTTTTCTTTCCTTTTTTGTTCTTTTCCCAGAACTACCCCCCTAGGGATCAGACCTGGTTATAATAATAAAAATGCAAATTATGATCACAATGCCATGACAAAATATATTTTTTACCTGTAAAATTTGTAGAGATAAACAGATTTGGTAATACCCTGGGTTACAAAGAAAGAGTACTAGAAAACTAGCACTGCCATATTTTGCTTAACAGAAGAGGAAATCAAAACAACCTCTATAAAGAGCAATTAGCCAATATATAAGAATTTTAAATTCTGAAACCCTTTGGCTGAGCAATTTGACTTCCCAGGACTTATCATACAGTTATGATTGCACATATGCAACATGACATGGATTTCACAGGCTGTTCATTGTCTGAAACAGCAAAGAACTGAAACAACTCAAACACAATGGGATATTTTGCCACCATTGAAAAGAATGCAACAAATCTGTAGATAATGATATGGTGGGAACGCTAAGCCAGGAGCAAAGAAGTGTCTACAGCATGGCAGATTGGTGTAAGAAAGCAAACACGGTACCTACAGAAAGTGCCTCTGGAACATGTCCACGCGACTAGCCCAAATTATATTCCCCAGAATTCCTTTCCCTGTCTCCTGTTAGGGTAGGCCTCAAGAGATGTTGTTGCATGAGATTTGGAAGGCAGAAGTGAAACGGCCATTTTTATTTTTATCCCTAAAAAGTGGAAGCGGCACTTCTGTAACGCACACACACTGCTGGGTATCTCTTGGCTCATGTTTTTGATATGGGGCAGCCGCCACGCCTGCCGCGACTTCACCTTCAGCCTCTCCAGCTCTGGGCTCAGATGCATGTTTGTGTAGCTCTGTGATGGGTGCCAGCTTCTTCTGGACACTCACATCATTAGGTCAAAGGCAGTGAGAAGTGACCGCCATTAGTCCCACTCTGCAAATGTGGACAGTAAGGTTTAAAGATGTTGAGACTTAATGTACCTGAGTAAATATCACCATGAAGATTTGAACCCAGAGACCCTGACTCCACAGCCCATGCTCTTCACAAGTTTGCAGTACTACTTCTTGCTATAACCCTATAAAGGAGTATAATATTGTATTACTATGTAAAGATAATATTTTTATTATCTTGATTTTATAAAAGCCAGAGAGGATGTGATTTGCCCAAGCCACATAAATAGAACAAAGTGGAAATCAAAATAAGAATGTCTGTCTTCATATCTCACACTCTGATTTACTTAACCCTAGAAGGTTAGGATATATACAGACATGAATGCATTCTTTTCTGATTATGCATTTCATTCTTTTTAAAGAAGTTTTTGCCTTTGGGTCAGGGGAAAGACAGACAGTGAGAGGGAAAGTGAGAAATCACTCCCAGGGATGATGGCCATACCACAATCCTTTCTCCTCCATTTTCCTCCCAGGATCTTGGGCACGCACATGCACGTACACACACCAGCATGAGTTTCAAGCCACTGGGCCTGGGACTCGAACCACAGTCAGCCATGTGAGAGTCCAGCAATGTAACCTCTACACCATCTGTTGGCCCTGACTATGCATTTCTTATAGAGGATTAAGTCTTCCATGAGCAGCTAGAAGCAGTCTATTAGCTGCCCTGATCCTTCTGTTTGTTTTTGTCCTGGACATTTTTTGTCTACTTCCCAAACATCTTTTTTTTTTTCAATGTCAGATATTAATATTTATTAATTCTATTTTAACCTTCTTTCAAGATGCAAACCGGCTTATGCATTTTGAGCCTGAAATTTTCAGTTGAGTAACAAGTACTCTTGCTGTTCTACCAATTTAAGAATTACGATGAAAAACAGGCTCATTTAAATTTTTTTGATTATTTATTACTACTAGCAGTAGTTATCCATTCAATCGCTATATACATCACTTAGATTGTAAAGAGACTTTATCCAGCGTGATATACACCTCAGTCCAGCCCAGCTGAGAATACTATACACATCCTCATCCACAGATAATAAATCCTATCTGTGTCCCACAAATGTCTTACCTCTATTTTTCCCCCAAATTTCCTTTCCTATGCTCTTCCCTTCCCACACTCTCATTCCACTTTGTCCAAGCATTTTGATGGGATTTGAGGTTGATTAAGTAGTTCTCAGATTTCTGCAAACTCCCTGAGTCTAATTATTGCGATAGCTCCCTCCTCCTAAGCTCCCTCCTCCTACTCCTGCTTCTATAGACCTTGCCCTCATGGTAACAACTTCTCCCCTTCTCTTTACCTCAAGACCTTACCATCTTTGGCAAAGCTGCCTCGCTTTCTTTTAAATGTTCTTTGTGCTATTTCATTCATGCTAACCTTTAAGATGCATTTTGAGCTTCTGAATTTTATGCAGCGATTCTCTGATTTGTTCACGGGCAGAAAGAATACTTGAAGGTTGACCTCATGGCCTAGTGGTTAAGAGTCCACGTGGTTGACTGTGCAGCTTGAATTCGTCTCGGTGAATTGAAAAACACACTGGGTGCATGTGTGTGCCTAAAATTCCAACAGGAGACATGGAGGATAACGGATTGTGGAATGACCATGCCTTGTCGATGGATTGCTTTCTCTCTTTCTTCTGCTCTCTCTCTGTCTCTGTCTCTGGTGAGTGAAAGTGTTCGCCAGCAATTAAAAACAAAGAACACTTTTAAAATCTCATTATTAAAGGAGTAAACTATGGAATCAAAATGACAATCCAGGAAGCCAGGGTAAGAAGTAATTTCTAGGCAAAGTGAGCAAGAGTAGGGTGTTAGGTGAATCAATTAAGAAAGACCTGTCATTTTCCTCTTTAAATCATTTTTTATGTATTTAAAATAAATATTAAAGCACATAGAATGACACCCTGAACACCTACTCCAGCCCTCTGAATTTACTATAGCTCATGAAAGCATTTATAGATTCAAGAACTACGAAGAAGTCCAAATAGGATAAATTTGAATATTAAAACAGACACATCAGAGTAGAATTTCTGAACACTAAACAAAAAGAATAGTTTTAAAATTTTTTATTCATGAGAGAGAACATGTGTGGATGGATGCACATGAGAGAAAAAGAGGAAGACGATCACCCTTGACAGAGTCTTGTCATGCTGCAGTCCTCTCTCCCAGTGCTCCATCTCGTCAGGACCTGAGGCACGGCACCCAGCTCACTGTTCAGGTCGGCCATGGATCAAACCCTGGAGTCAGCTATGTGGCTTCCAGCACTGCGGTTTCAGCTACCACCTGTGCCACTGAGGCTGGGCAAGAGGATCATTTCTAAACCAAAACACCTAGAGAGGAAAGAAACATGACTTTCAAAGTTACAACAGTTGACTTAAGTTTTTAACAAAAACAATGGAAGCCAGATGGCACTAGAAAAGTATTATAAATCCTGAAAGAAAATACCTGCCAACCTAGAAATCTATACCCCTTCAACAACAACAACAACAAAAAGACAATAGAGTGGGCCCTATAGCCTAGTAGCTAAGTGAGCTAGATCTCACATGGCCAATTGCAGTTCAAATCCCAGCCGTGGTGGCTTAAAAACACACCAAGCATGTATGCACGTATGCCTGGAATCCTAACGAGAAAAAAATGGAGAAGGGATTGCAGTGTTACCACCCCATTAGGGATGCTCTCTCTCTCTCTCTCTCTCTGTCTCTTTCTGGTAAGTGCAGCACCCTCTACAATTAAAAAAAATAAAATAAAACAATGTAATGTAATATGTAACTAAAGTAATTGAGTCTTTAAGTAATTATTTGTTTAATTTTTATTTTATCATCACCATGATTTTTTAATTTGCTGCAGGGCATGTATGCTCACCAGAAAAGGAAAACAAAAAACAAAAAAAAAACAAAAAAAACAGAGAGAGAGAGAAAGTGAGCTGCTAGATCTGGGACTCAAACTGTGGTTGGCCATGTGGGAGTCCAGCACCCAAACCACCACACCCCCTGCTGACCTCATAATTGAGCTTTTTAAAGCAGGAAGTAGGGGAACCAACAGATGGCGTATTGGTTATGTTGCTGAACTCTCACTCAGTCCACCGCAGTTTGAGTCTCAGACCCAGCGGCTTACAACACACCGAGCACGTGTGCGTGTGTGCCCAAAATCCCGAGAGGAGAATGGAGGAGAAGGAATTACAGTGTGGCCACTCCCCATTGGTGATGATTTCTCACGCTCTGTCTCTCTGTCTCTCCAACAAGTACACGTGCCCTATAGAAAAATCTCTCTAAAAATTTTTTTAAAAAGCAGGAAGTAGGATGAAAGCATGATTTTCTTCCAGTAAATATACATATATATGTGTGTGTGTGTTATACTCTAGTGTTTGGCTTTGAGGAATATTTTTTTAAATTAGTACGAAAAGGAAAATCAATTTCATCTACATTATGATCAAACCACACTTAGTAGAAGGGAAAAGCACCTCTGAGCAGTAGAAGCAGTTTAGGTGGATGATTCCAATGCTGTTTGATGCCAGTCACTGTAATGCAGCCTGGCAGATAGCAAACTGTCCAAATTTTACCGAATAATACTTGCATATGACCTGGGCTGGCTGAGACTGGAAGTGGATTGCAGTGTGGGGATCCTGTTGGGGGAGTGCCTCTCTCTTTCCGTCTGTTAGATT